GGGGCGCGGGGGAGGAAGGTGGAGGAAGGTGGAAGGGGCGAGAGGGAAAGGTGGAGGGGGGGTTGAGTTGAATTAACACAAACACGTTCGCGGGGGGGAACCCCAGTGTGTAAGAGGACATTACTTGGTCTGAGCTGCCGCGCAGGAACGTCCCCTCCGTACCCCCCTTCCTACCGCCTTTCCCTCCCCCGCCCGAACCCCCCTTACCTAGGTCCTTCCCCCCCAGCGCCCCCTCCCCCTCCCCCTCCTCGTCCGGGTCGGTGAACTGCTCCACGAACCGCTCCTTGCCCTGATGAGGGGCACAGACGCGTGCGTGTGCGTATTGGAAGGGGGGTGCGGACTCTTTAAGATCGGGGGGTTCCGGGGGAAACCCACACGCAAGCAGCAAAACACCCAGGGCGGGTGAGGGCGGGGTCCAACCGGGCAGAGTAACCGAACACTTACCCACGCATTTCATCACCCCACCACCCGCAGGGCCCCCAACCCCCACCCAAACCGAAGAGACCCCCTCCTCCCCTACCTCCCGGCACTCACACTTCTAGACTACCCCAAACCCCCCGTCGTTAACACCCCCCTCCCCCTCCCCCTCTCCCCCCCCAACCCACCTACCTGCACGCTGTCCGACCGCGTCTCCCGAAGAGCAAGCGCCACCAACCGCCGTACAGCCCGGAAAGCAAAATTGCGCTGAGGCAGCAAAATCAGCACCTTGGGTCGGGTAAAGCCCTGGTCGCGGGGGGTGCCAACACCACCAACACCAGCATCGGTGCTACCGGTGATGCCGCCGCCGCCGCTGCCGCCAGCACCGGCAACAACCCCCCCACCAACATCATCACCCCCACCCCCACTCCGGGGGAACCCCTCGTCCGCCCCCTCCCCCTCCCCCTCCTCATCGTCATGCTCCCCCTCCTGCAGCTGCGCCCCGTTAGGCTGCTGCTGCTGCTGCCCCCTCTCGCCCTCCCCCTTCGGGACAGATTCCCCCCCTTGTTGCTGCTGATGCTTCCTCCTCTTCTTTTGCTGCTGCTGCCGCTGCTGCTGTTGCTGTTGTTGCTGTTGTCGCTCTTGTTGCTGTTGTTGAAGGGAGTGGTTGTTTTTCTTGATGCGATCGGAGGTTTTTGCAATGTGGTTGAGGCAGTGCAGCAGTACGGCATCTAAAAGCGGATCTGAAGCGTCCAGGGAGGCGTCCGTCGGATACGGCCGGTACGGCAAGTGTACGTCAGCGTACGTGTTCAGCAAGGCGAAGAGTGACTGCTGCTGCGGATTGCGGAAGTCCCCGCCGCCGCCGCCGCCGCTGGGGGACGGCGTGGTGGTGGCAGCTGCTGCTGCCGTACGCGCCTCATCCTCCTGTACCAGCCCCCCGGGGGTTAGGGACGGGCGGTTTAGCACCGGTCACAGGGGTCAACATAACCATGCAGGCCCCTTAAACAAAATACAAATCGAATCTTTGATGAGGTTGATGATCCAGTACGACCGACCAAATACACACACGCCGTACGGCAACCTGGAAGACGCAGATTCACGAGAGAGGAGGACAGGCGCCCCTCCTTCACCCTCACCCCGGACAGCAACCCCCGAGGCAGAGGACCGAAACACAGACGCCCCCAAAGCGGAGCCCCAGTCACCTGTCGTACTTCCCGCCATCGCGATACCAACCGCTCCTTTACGCCGTACGCCGGAAGCACAGCGGGCGCCGGGGGGAGCTCTCTGAGGCCAATGGAGGCGGCGGCTGCAGCTGCCGCCGTCACGGCGGTGGCGGCGCCGGGTTTAGCTGCGCGAGCTTTATTGCCACCGCCGCCGCCGCCGCTGCTACTGCTATTGTCGTACACCCTCAACTGCCATTTGGCGTTGCTGCCCCAGGCTGTCACGTGGATATCGTCCGCGGAGGGCGCGTCCAGATACGTGCACTGCACGGCAATACACGTACGACATGTACGGGCATACAGAGCTTAAAGTACACGGATTGTACACTGTGTCGACGCACTGAGATGCGCACGTGTGTGCATACGTAAGCACATATGCATGTCCGTTGTGGGAGTCATTCAGACGTTCATTCACTGCTGCTACTGCCACTGCTGACTGCTGCTACTGCTGCCGCGACGTGCATTGTCGAAGCGGCTTTAGCCACCGCATTGCAATTCAAATTGAAAGGTGCAAGGTTGCAAGTTCGACCCACACCACCACGCATCGAGGTACGGCCGGATGCCGCGCGACAGGTCGCCTTGGCCACTTAATACCGGGGGCGCTAGCTCGTTTGTTTGTCTGTTTGTTTGCCTGTTCTGAACAGTGCTGTCCTGAACAGGCAAGCAAACAAACGACCTAGCGCCCTTGGGTAGAGCCCACACGACCTGCCCGTACATGCATACGTGAACCAATACGTGCACCCAAACCCAACACAAAGCGGCAGGGCAGTACAGTCCGTACAAAGCACATTATCAGTACTTCAACACGAGCAGTACATCTGAAGTACACATGTACCACCAACGCCGTAAACCCCCCTCCCCTCGCCGTCTGCCGTTGTCTCTTCTGACATCAAGTTCATGTAATACTCCCCTGGCCTTTCCCCCGTTCACCTTGCCATCAGCAGCAGCTGCCGCCAGAACCGCCACCTCGCTGTCGCTGAGCTCCCGACCCACGTGACGGGCCCAAGGGTCTATCGCCGGCGCCGTCGTCGCCGCGGCCGCTGCCACTGCCGTACCATCCTCTGTCGCCGCGCGAGCCCTCCCCGGGCCGTGGTCATCATCATCACCATCAACGTGATTGTCTTCCCCCTCTGCCGATGACGTCGATGGTTCCTCCTCCTCCTCTTCTTCCTCCACAACTGTGGCGGCTTTGACGTCATCGCTGCTGCCCCCGTGGACCTTCCTCCGTTCCCCCCTCCTCCGCAACGCCGCCGCCGCAGCAGCATCGTCGCTCTCGCCGTCTAACCCCTCCCCCTCGTCCTCCTCTTCACTGACTTCCCTGCCTCCCGCCTCCCTACCTCTCCGGCTGCGACCGCGACCAGTCCCCAAACCCATGTCTTCAACCTTCTCCTCTCCCTCCTCTTCGTCGCCCTCTTCACTCTCCTCCTCATCCTCCTCATCTTCCTCTTCACCATCATCGTCATCGTCATCCCCTTCAAAGTCGCTGCTCTCGCCCATCTGCTCGCTGCGTAGGAGCTGTAGCTGCGCCCGCAAGTCCAGTTTGTTGCGACTGCCGGTAGCCTTACTGCCGTTCAGGCCGCCAGCTTTACCGCCCCCTGCGCGCCCTGGCGCCCTAGCGAGCTCCTCGATGAGCGCTTCATAAGCCGATCTGACGAGCACATACATCAACAACGACGACATCCATTTCAAAAAAATCGATTATGAAAATAACACCATATATATAAGATTTACAATAAGAATTTATTTATCACAGAAGCGCACAAGTCCGCGACACAATTTGCCAGACAGGCAGTAAAACAAACAAAAGCATGAAAACGGGTTCAGTTGGCAGAGAGACTCGGGATGAGATGGGTCAGGCGACGACGGGAAGGGGGAGGGATGGGACGCACGGGGGGGAGGCACCGGGGCGGTTTTCCTTGGAGGTTTTTTCTCAGGGCGCCCGGAAACGGAGGAGTGGGGAAAACGTAATCCATAGGATGTGCGACGAGATCGTACCTGCCGCCTAGAAGCCTTTGGCGTTCTGCCAAAAGCAGGTCGGAATCCTCTGCTGCCAGCGCTCCGGCCACTGCGCCGGGGCCCTCGGCTGCCGCTGCGGACCTCGGTTGAGGCTTCGGAGCGGGGCCCGCCTCCCGCCGGGCCCGTTTCGCGTGAGCTGCTTGGCGCTGCTGCTGTTTTTGTTTGGCGCGGCGCCGCTTGCGGCTCGGGCCAGCAGCCGGGTCGGTTGGAGATGATGATGGTGCGGCATGGGCCCGACCGCGAGAGGCGGCGTTGCCGTTGAGATGATCGGGCCCGGGTTTTGGTTTGCCATTTGCAGCGCCATTAGGCTGTATGTGCGCGCGCGTACGCTTCACCGCCGCTCGTCCGGCCGTGTCGTCTCGTGGCGCGCCGCCGACGGCCTGCAGTAGCCGCGCAAGCTTGCCTCCGGGCATTTGCGTGCCTGACGTCTGAGAGATTCGGAGTGCTCGCTATCGTTTATATCTGCTCTGGTGAAGCATCAAATAACTTCAGCTACAAGCTCCACCTAGACGCCGATGCCGAGACATGCATAGCCAAAGTGTCAGAGGAAAGCAATCCACATTACTGTTTAAGACCCAGCGCAATGCTTGGCTTGTGGAGTGAACATGTGCAGTTGCAAAACATTTTCACTCTAGCCGTACAACCAGCTGGTTGTACAAACTGTTACCAGGAAAACTCTGCAGACTTCGCAGCATTGTCGAAACGTCTTGTGTAGCATTTCCGAAAAAACCTTAGGGAAAATTACTGTTGTGTGAAGACAGAATGGTGAGTTCTAATGCATTTCCGCCAGTTTTCGAACTTATGTGATATTACGTTCAACGCAATACTCTTACCTATTTGTAGGGGCTCTTGACCATGATCCGGTCGCTCAAGCGAAAGGAGGGCGAGGTGATATCGCTTGTGCATGCTCCTCTTTGCTCCTGAGCGAAGGTCCTAAGGAGGAATGTGTTGACTGCAGGCGCGCCTCCTGGTGCTGGGTCTCGATAATGCTGGCAAAACGACCATCCTGAAGTCGCTCAGCGAGGAGGACATTACGACCATTACCCCCACACAGGTGGACTAGAGCATAAGGGTTGTCGTGGCTCATTTACAATACCTGACCGGGCTCTTTATAATTTTATGCAGGGTTTCAACATTAAATCTCTATCCCGAGACGGATTCAACCTGAAAATTTGGGACATTGGCGGCCAAAAGACTATTCGGCCTTACTGGCAAGTGGTTGTCGAAATCCAGTCGTGTCACATACCTTGAAGCGAAGGTCATCTGCTGCACTTTTAAACCCCGTAGGCGGAACTACTTCGATCAGACTGATGCGCTGATCTATGTTATCGACTCCTCGGACCGCAAGCGCCTGGAAGAGTCTCACTACGAGCTTTCCCAGCTTCTGCAGGTGCGATACCAAAGGGGATTGGCTTGTGAGCGCGGTCGCGCATCGCTATCACCCGGGGGCTACTCCCAACTGCCGCAGGCCCAACTGCTCGGTTGCCTTTTCCACGACAGGGTTTCGTCTACCCATAGCTAAAATATCTCTACACGAATTCTTTCCCCAACACAGGATGACAAGATGGGTGGCGTGCCGCTACTCGTCTTTGCGAACAAGCAGGACCTCATGGGCGCCGCGGAAGCTGGCGAAATTGCCGAGCTTCTGGAGCTTACGTCCATTCGGGACCGGCCGTGGCAGATTCAGGCTTGCTCTGCCAAGACTGGCACGGGGCTGCAGGAGGGTATGGAGTGGGTCATGAAGCAGGTCAAGTGAACGTATCCCGGTGTCCGGGGAGCTGAAAATGGAGCAGGGTTGTGCGTATTGTGTGCATATAGGGGTCGACGTATTGACAATTGAGGGGGTAGGAACTAGGCATTCGGTACACACGTGCGGCAGCTGCGACTCGATTTGCGGGCGGACGATCGTGCACTAATAGGCAGGATGTTAAACGCTGCACAACGCGACATAGGACCAGACCAGACCGTTACTCGTTGACCGGTTATTACTAACCTCGCTCGTGGACATGAAGCTTCGAAAGGGTTTGCTTCCTTTACAAGAGTACATAAACTTGGTGTTCGCAGCATTCGCTGCTTTCATAAACGCCCAGGCGTGTGGATGGCAGCAATTTGTAAACATCCTCTTAAATCGTTCTCCCTCCCCTGTGCGCTCTTATAAAATCGGGAACACATATTCTTGCAGCATTTGGGCACACAAATATACGCCCTAACGAATGACATTAGAAAATTCTTTGCAAACAGAGTCCACCACCTCTTTTCTTGCCCTTGAAAACTCGCAAGGCGCTTTACATGTCATATCGCATCGTACATAGGAGCCTCAAGCGCACTTTGACCATAAATTTATTTGCAGCCGTTAAGCCGCGTGGAAGCCAGGCTCGGAAATAAACATACAATAGGAGGCGGCAGCAATGGAACGATCACCCGCCTCTCCAAGACCCGACCAGAAACACAACATGCAACGCTTTTCCCAATCCACGTTGCTTGGGAAGCCCTTTGCTTGCGCTGCCGATGCGCCAGCACACTCTTCCCCGACCTGTTGAGTAGAGCACAAAACACATGGCAACCCAGGTCATGCCGTACAAGCAACCCCATGCACACACTCTGCCTCGTTATCAGATTCAGACAAACTCGCAACACAAGCAAATATCGTTTTCCCACCAGAAACCACCAAACGACGACAAAAAAAACACGTGGAACGACCACTCAAGGGTGCGTAATCATCAATCACCAAAATCTGCAACCTCAACGCCTCGTGCAAACAGACGCGGAACCGGCCCAGGATCGCAGCTCCGAAACCGAAGCCGCATGGTACTCACAAACACGTCCCTCGCAAAGGACTTCATACTCGGCTCGACGTGGCATTCTCCCTAAGAATATCGATAATATGATACCATCTCATCTCGCTTACTTCCTTGCAATGCCTAATCCAACAAGGTTCTCAACGCAAACACTGTACGACAACCATGTCCTGGTTGGGGATGTGAATCGCATGACGACTCTTCTCGACGCCTCTTCGATGCAGCACGCGGTACGCCCGTTCCTAGAGTCGTTTCCCCTGTGTTACACCCATCGCACCAACAAGCATGGACAGCCCATGGGATCTGCCCATTATTGCATTTATCATTATTTAGCACCCTCCGAACCAACGCAACATTCATGCTATAAGCTTTGTAACCTCCACCTCACCCTTCCCCTTACTAACCAGGCAAAATCCGTCCCCATCCCGCTGTTCAGTCCGGCACACCTCTTTCCTCCAAGCGCCCTGATTCGCACAGTCAGTCCATGCTCATGCCAATTGGATCTATCGACCCAGGCCGTGCTCCCAGAGGTCAGCCTTCCTCTTCCCATCCCATTTCCTTTCAGCCCACACAGCAGGGCCACAGATGCCCGGGATTTCAACCCAAGCATGCAACAGGGGTACGAACCCTTTATCCGCTCTCCCTGCCCTTCTCACTACCCTGCGGAGCCGTCTTCACCCTTCCGAATGCTGTGGCCGCTTTGGCAGCCCGTCTTTGCCCCGCCCGATTCCTTCAACCGGACCGAAAGAGCCCCCCAAACAGGCCGCCTTTCCGCGTCCCCCCCTGCTGCTGCTTGGCCTTCTGCGGCTTGGCGCTCCAGAAGTCACTGCCCTGCAAATCCACCACCACCACTGCCACATTATCAGTGCTGTACCGCTTCAATGCCAGGCCCGCAAGGCTGGCCGCCACCTGGCTGGCGTCCTTCTTGGCGCGGAACTCCTTGCGCGCCCACGCTACCGCCTCCCGCGGCGGCAACACGTCCCACAGCCCGTCACTCGCTACAATGAGGAATTCGTCGTCCTCCGTTAGCAGCGTCTCTGTGACATCCGGCGTTGCCACCACAGGATCCGCCCTGAAGGCTTGCTGTGCCGCAAACTCGGCGTTCCAGTAGCCCCGCTCGATGCCCGTCTGCAGGAGACGCGGCAGGCCAATGCCCTTGAACTCCCAGTCGCCAAAGGCGCGGGAGACGGCCAGCACGCTGCACACGCGGCCGTCGTCCACCCAGCCGCCCACCGATTTGACGCGCTCGATTTCCGTGGCCACGTCAGGGCCGGAGCCGTAGACCCGGTGGCAGTGCGCCAACGTCACGGCGTTGCCCTTGCGGCTCAGGATAGCCTGGACGGCACGGTTGCGCAGAGAGCGCATTGTTTAGCGCGGGCAAAGACAAGCAGAATCAAAGCGCCGGTGTGTGCGCGCGCGCGTGTGTATGTGTGTGTGTGTGCGCAGAAAAGCGCAGCCAGGCGGGGTAGGCAGATTATGGCAGGCATTGTACAACGCGTGTGTACAGGCGGCGTTCGGCCAGGGTCCTACGACAGATCCTTCCCCAATAACTCCTCCTCAAGCAAAGCACATGACCGGGTTCAAATTCACCACACTGTACACGCAAAGATGCATCTCTTCCAGTCCAGTGGTAATGCTTCCCCCGCAGAGAGGACACACTCCTCTGTGGTAGGTTTAATGAACTCACTACTACTCTGCGACAAGGAAGTGGGTCCAAGGACAAGGGCCCCCTGGGCCTGTTGTCAGCTGTTGCTGCTTCGAAATGCGCGGCGTAACGAATCCCCACACGCTCACGCGAGCCCTGGAGCAATACCGCGACTCACGCTGCTGTGGCCTATAATCAACAAGGCCCCTCGTGTGCGTGGGCAAAGCTTTCTGTTCGGAAACCCCCGTTGCAAGGGGTTTCTTAGGGTGAAGGCGCGCGGGGCGGCGGGCACGAGTCACTCTAATAGGCCCCGGCTGCCCATAGCTGGTGCAATTGCCCCGGCGCCTGGTCGCACCCCGAACTAGTGCTCACACTCATCCTCGTGGCTTCCGCTGTCACGGCACAGACTACCACAATTATCGACACCCTGATCAGCGGCTGGATGGCGGTTCCAGTCATGGCTTCACACCCTTCCCAGACTCCCAAACCCCTTATCATCCCCACATGCGAAATGCCTCTTCATCAAGCATGTTTCCGCTTCCTGCTTCCTCGTCCGCGGCAGCTCCGTACCTACCTGGCTGTCCCCAACATTGGCAACCACTAGTTTGTCGTCCTTGATGACGGCCACGGTGGCGGTGGAGCCAGCCTGTGCCGCGTCCTCGCCGCCCTCCGCCGCCAAATGCTCCAAAAGGGCCTTATCCGCCATGTGAAACGAGTCAATCAGCTGCTGCGGACAGATGTCCCGGCTGCTGATGCCCTTGCTGCTCGTGTTGCTGCCGTTGCCGGAGGAGGAGGGGGCGGAAGAGGAAGTGTTGCCATTCTTGCCAGCCACGGTGCGACCGACGAGGCAGTTCTCCACTTGCACGTGAAGCTGCTTGGCCAGCCACTGCGCCGCCTTTTCGCCGCCGTGGCCGTCGAACACGGCGGCGTATAGGTAGTGGCCTACCGTATTATAGTGCACCTGAACCTCGTCCTCCTGAACAAGGGGCAGGAGTGTGGGGATTATGCGCACGAAGCAGCTACCCATGTCCAAAGGAGGGAGGCTTGGGGAAATATTTGTTAGTCAAGGACTTTGGGAAAGGGGCAAGGAAAGGGGCAAGGAAAGGGCGTGGAAAGGGGTTCATCAGCGGCCTGGACAGGGCCATACCACGACGTAGGAGCATGCGGGGTCCTATCTCATGAGCGACAACAGCAGGCGCCGAGCCTTACGAACCCTGTCACTACCCACTGTGCTACTGTCCAACAGGAGGAACGCGCACTTCAGTGAAACAGTGAACCCCCCCTGGTGCTCAAGGCAGCATGAGTGGCTGTTAGTTATTCAGGAGCGGGTGAGGGCCGCTAAGGAGAAGGCCCGAGGGACAGTGGTAGCTCTCCACTACAAAGCCTCGCAATGCATAACCCAAGCCATTATACTGAACCTTGCTTCCGGCACCTCCCATCAGATTCACCGAATTAACGCTGTTACATATGTACCTTTTCATTAAAATGTTTGTGTCAATTGTATCGCGGGTGAACTAATTCACTGTCCTGGTTGGTTTGCTTGCATGGCACATTTATCTTCAGCCTTACCATCGTATCCCTGACGCCCTGCACGCTGCTATAACCAACATCTAGCTCCGAGGCCGTCACGATGACAGCGCTACTAGCTGGACTGCCAGCAGACGTCGCGGCACCAATGTGTCGGTGGAGTAAGGCGTTCCGGGTGCAAGGCAGTTGGAAGCAGGCGCTTGTAGTAGATGGTAATGCCCATGTCTGACTCCTCGGGACCGCACCCCGGCAAGCTATGAAGGTGCCGCTTTGGGCGTTCGCAAAGCACTGCAAACAGGCGGAGCGGAGTGCGTGCCAGAGATGTCAGCTCTTTTATTTTGCGTTGAAAGAGGATTGAACAGAGCACTTACGTTTCTGCGTAACACCGGCGACGACAGCGCCATCAGTGCTGCCTATTCTTTCGTTCGCTGCAGCACACAAAATCGTAACCGAAGACACCGTATATGACGCAAAAATTATAGCGCTAGCAGTGTCACAAAGAGCGCTTTCTGTGGTCACGAGCTGCCGTTCAACGACCCGACCGCTTCGCTTTCTATTAGAACATCACCTGACAGCGCCGCTAAGCCATTACCATAAAATAGGCACAGCAGCTTCCAGGGTATAAACATAGCTCTCGTAAGCGGAACGTGTACTTGGAAAGGACCTACCGTACCACCAGAACGACCGTTCGTGCAGCGATGAACTTCCGCAACCCTGTAATCTCTAAGCCAATACTTCCATCCATACATGACTATAATGGCTTCATTTTGTGGCACGCTTGACAACGCCCGCAGCTCGCATCTTGTACTCAGGAACCATGATGAAAGGCAGCATCCCGTTCCAAACCGTTGTTACGCCAAGCCCTCATTCCCCGCACACACCAGTCTTACTCGCCGTTGGGCCGTGCCCCCTCAACAATAGTCGCGTGGGTCTCCCAGTACGCGACCGACTTCTCGTACGCCTCCCGATCCAATGGAACCCCGCTGCCACCCTCTTCCCTCCCCAGTGCGTTGCGCAGCATCGTGATGGGTTGCATGGGCGTCTCGTAAGGCTCGTCCTGCGCCTTAATGCTGATGATGCCCCACGGCGCGTCCGGCAGCTCGTCTCCTGGGCCCTTGGTCGGCATAGCCGCGTACTCCTTGACCAGCTGCTCGCGCGAGTACAGGATAATGTCCAGGAAGTTGGCCACCGGGACATCCACATCCGATGATGAGAACCACCTGCAAGCAACAACCCAACCTCAAAATATTCCGCCAGCAACCCAAAAAACAACCGCAATGGCAAAGAACCGACTGTGAAAGACCCAGGTCGGACAACCCAAATCGCGCGGGACCCAAATCGCCAAACGCGTTAAATGCGGTCAGCTCGGTTGGATCTCAATTCATTTTCGTTTTTCAAAATCGGCTCGAAAACGGCCGCAGCCCAGATCTCCACCTGGTAAGCACCGCGAGTTCCTCAGGTCGACGCTTGGTGTACCCCGATTGCAGCTTGGCTCGGTTTGCCTCTGTAATGGCTAAAGCCCCCAGCCGGGCGCCCACAAAGTTCGGAACGAACACATGCTTGCAGAAGGGAGCGTAGCCCTCCACGAGTGGCGCGCCCTGCTTGTGTGCGGTGAAGGGGAGACAGACGATGGACGGGGGTAGGGGAGATGCAGACCAGTACAGATGGGACACAGAGAGCGCGGTGCAGGTGGCGAGGCATAGGCGCAAGCGCACGTGCTGGCGAAAGAAAGCCGGTAAAACGGATGGCAGGTTTAGCACAGGTGAGGGGCAGACGGTGCATGCCCTCATTGGCCGCATTGACAGCTCGCCTATCCTCATGTAAGGGATTCCGAAAGGGGAGCGCACTGACTTAAGGGGTGCCTTGGATACGTCCGGAGTTCAGGTGGTGATTTAGCCACGCAATGACACACGTATACATGTACATTGGATGTCACGACAGCTTCGCTGTGGACAGAGGGACGGTGTCGTCATCCACGAACGAAAGGGTTCCAAGGTGGCCACTGGTATTCTCAGAAACGCGCAACTCCTCCCAGCTCCCCCCTGTAGCCAATGATATTGGGGAGAGTCTGGGGCTGAAACATCAGACCGTACCTTATCAAACTCCTCCTGTATGCGCTGCACGAACGCCGCCTTGTCGTACGACACTCGAGTGCCGCCGTAGTTTGGGTCATCCCATTGCCGCTGAGCGAAGCCGTCAAGGAAGAAAGTCTGTGTAACAAATGTCATGGCTTTTGCTGCACTGGCGGAGATCAGCACTCGGGGGGTTGAGCGGAATGTGATGCGCGTTGCAAGCAATCCGCGTACAGTCCTCTGATGTACGTTGCCTTTAGCGTTTTGATGCAAGGTATGTGCGACCAAAGATCGACAGCCGAGGGCCATGAATCAACTTGCCGGCGAAATTGGCAAGTCGAAATCCTGTGTACACACGCCGCTCCTAAACCTAGCCTGTTACTCGTATCGCGTATTAGCGTCAAGCAAATAGTGATGACTGATACTACGTGAAGGGGAGTTGCGCAGTGTGAAGGAAACTGCGAAAACTCGTACAGCGGGCTTGCATTCTTCACATGCACGCAGGGCCACACATGAAGTTCTTTCCTCTTCCTTACACGCCACGCATGTGCAATATTACATACGAGAAGCCTGGGACACAGCCTAAGACAGGTGAACGTCGGCTAACGGTTAGAACGCAGCTCCGTCAGTCTTTGCTCTAGTCTTGTTCCTTTTACTCGGTTGGGCTCACTCCAAAGCGCGACACGTTGTTTTGTAAGAGCTTTACTGGTAGCACCCTCTGGCTTCAACGCACGACCGTGACGACCGAAGCACTTGGGCAAGTTCTCTGGACTACCTGGGCTGAAAACTTTGTTTAGATTCTTCTTGCACAGCTCATCTGCAGCACATGCTGTGGTCTTTAGGTATGACCCCCCTTCTTGGGCTGTCTGACGATACGCGACAGTTGCCGACGGACTGGGCCGCGGCCTAGGCACCTCGGTTTCGAAACACCAGGCCCCATGCCGTCCCATCTCAAACCAGGCTAACAAGAAGGTCAATATATTGGTATGGAGGCATGGGCGCTAGCGGCCGGCGAGCAAAACATCCAGGTTACCGCTTTAGCTGTCGATGACCGACGACATAGCCTCGGCGGGTCCACAACAACGACAACGGCCTCGCGCGCCATGCTAATCCGTCAGTCGCCTATGGAGATTAGTCGAGGACCGTCGGTCGGCAGCGCAAGCCGTCATTCTTTGGGCGATGTTCGGGATCAGTTTCAGAGCGATGACGACGAGGCGGAGCCAGGCGCGGACAGCCTAGACGACGCGCTCAGTCTCACGGAACTTCAATCTGTGAGTCGGGATTTGCGTCGCTGGATTGTAGTAGCACGTGGCTGGCTGCACAGGTGCCGAGAGCATAAGCCACACAAACGGCGCTTTCATTGAAACCCGCCGCCGCGTCCGCTGTATATGTTTCCATCAGCCGTTTACAACGGACACTGTTGGCGCCGCTGTAGCACATCACAACTGTGCGCAAACCCAATACAACAAGTTACGCCTTTTCGTTGTGATAATGGTTTGTTCTCGTTCTTTCGAGGGGGGCGCCGCACTCGCACGGGGAGCCTCCTGTAACGCCCGCATGCGCGCCAAAACATCCGCACAGGCAAAGTAGTGCGCCGCAAATACCCCCAGAACCATAGCCTCATTCCGCTCCTGCGCAGTTACGGCTGTACCCCGCATAGCATGGCAGTAGTCCACAGCTGCGTTCTGCTCCTGTTCCGCCCTTTGTCTTAAAAACGATCTTGCCATCGGCAGTTCTTTGTAAAAGCGAAATAGTAAGCGTATCTTCTGTTGTTATTTTTCCGGGGTGATGTTTAAACGGAGCCATACCCACCGTAAAACCCGCAGCTTACATACAGCGCCAGCCCCCGCCCTTTCTCTCGGGCCAACCCTGGCGTCTCCCCACAATCGCTCGCCCTTGATCACCTGCACTTGCCAGCTTTCATTTTCGACCATACATCTTTACGAATCCCCTGCAGAGATTGCCTACCGGCCTCTGGGACTCATCCCCCACTTCTTCTCAGGACGCTTTTTCTCCTCCTGTAGGGCCTGTTTTTCCATTTTACGTATAGAGCTGCCTCCATCCTTCTGGGTCGTTTTCCCTCGGTGGCAGGTGTACCACCTGCCCAGCAAGGAGGCGGCTCGCAGCCTTAACGTCAGCCTCTCGCGCCTCAAGCGCAGCTGTCGAGCCCACAATGTGCTCCGCTGGCCGCACCGCAAGCTGTCCAGTCTGAGCAACCTGCAGGTGGGAATTAAGTAGCAGAGTTGACTGCCTTGCTGCCTACATGGCTGTTAGGCGGCTGCCTAGCCACGCAGGCGCTCGACTGGCCGTCTGCGTGGCTACATCAGCATCCTAACTGCATTTGTGCGAGAGGTTGGCTTCCTGGCTATGTGAATGGCTAAGTGCCTGCCAGGCCGGCTGGCTGGCTGGATGTAAGGCTCTTTACTTGGTCCACTGAGAGGACAACATTTCGTGGCGATTTGTGGCGTGGCGGTGGTAACAACAGCTGCGGGGGTTGAATCGTCTGCATATGTGTGCCTGTGTTGGTGTTAAGCCTACATACGGGCGTGGCGGCGTCCCCTCTCCTCAACCAATCTCCACGCACGATCTGCGTTTCCCGGCCCCGCTCCCCATTCCCATGCGATCTACCGCGCTGGACCATCCACAGGAGACGATCCGTAACGACAAAAACATGAGGCTCCTTGACAAGCAGGTGTGTGCGTCAGTTCGTGTGGACTGTGGAGGGGCCGCCCGGGTCGACTGGTTTCAAGGGTTTCGCTGTAGCAACTCTGCTAGAACCCGGCGAAGGAGGAGACTTAAATTATTCTTCACCTTCTGTTGAGTTGCAAGCTTTCAAATATGTACCTGTAGTCCAACATGTACTTGTAGAGGTATACAGCTTTTGAGTTTGATCTTGGCCGGTTTGGGGCATTATCCCCCCTTTTGGTGAGGCTCCAAGTGGGTTGGGTGTGGTGTTGTGGGTGGGTGGGGGACATCCCTCCTCCCACTGTTCCTGGCGGCGGTGAGTCCGTCACGCGCTTCCTTTGTTCTCCTCTATAGTCTTGGTTACTGAGTTATTTTGGTTGCTGAGCTATTGGGACTTGTGCGATATTGTTTTTACTTTTACCAGTCCTGGCTTGGGACATCTGCAGTACTTACCTTAGCTGTTAAGGTTTCCGCCCTGCAAGCCGCAATGGATAATTCTTCTTAGCCCAATCCTCTTGGCTCCCCGCCACAGAGGATCCTGCAGCAGATTGTAAATGAGATCTCTGCGGTGCGGGCAAATCCCGACCACACCATCGATCCGCGGCTGGACGAGATTCGACAGGCCAAGTACAAACTAAAGGTAAGGTGGCCTCCCGAGGGCGGGCAGATGATGTCCAACCAGCGAAACAGATGATGGTGTCGCAGGAGCAGGGAGATTTCAGGGAATTCTTTTGGAGAGAAAGGATGGCGGAATGGCGGATTTTTCCCGCCTCAGGGCTTCAGTGTCGGCCTTTTTGCTTCGTAGAGCTTTTTCGTGGTTCACCTTTTTCCCACCTCAGGCAAATGCCTGGTCATTACATGGCCAAGAGCAGCAATGGTTTACAGGAGCAACAGTAACAGCAACGCAGGGAGGGAATCCGTACAGGGCTGAACATGCCCTGGTCTTGCAGCGGTGCGCTGCAGATCTTCCCCCCCAGCGATGTTTTTTTTGGTCATCCATTTTTCATTGCTGTACAGGTCAACTCATGATGGCTCCATGTTAAATCTTTGCTCTATTATTGAAAGGGATGTAGTCTAGCCAGCCCTATGGCGGTCTGTAGATGCCGCAAAGCGTGGACTGCGGATTTCAGGACTTTGTGTGCCCCTCTTTGCGGCGGCCCTTAGCTGCGTAACCTTTACCTGCTTGGTCACGCGTCTTGTCCCTGCCCTGTCTCCCCAACCCCCGCCGCGCAGTACTACCACAAGACCAAGCACACCCTAGGGTCCTCTTCCGCGTCGAGCCGTAAGCGGCGCCAGTCAGCTCCGTATCCTGACCAGGCCCTTAACCTCAACCTCAGCGCCGCTGCCATGGCCCCAATTTCCGCGGTTGCCGCCGCCACGGCCAACACGACGGCTTACAACGGCGAAGGTGTTTCGCCGCCGCCGCCGCGGCAGCAGCAGCAGCAGCAGCTGCTGCTGTCGCCGAGCCCGTGGGCCTCACCTGGTGGGAGGCCGGGGCCGGAGGGTGGTGGTCCTTTTGCAACCGTCTCGGCGCCGGCGGCGCCGGCGGCATCCCTGTACACCGCCACCGTCCACGCCGCGTCCGCCTCCGCCGCTGTGTTCCGCGGCGGTGGCAGCGGCGGCAGTGGCGGCGGCGGTGACAGCGTCGATGGTCAGCTGGCGGCCTCCTTCCCATCCGGCAGCGCGCTGGCTCGTTTCACTTCCGACCGTGCCTCTTTTGGCGGTAGCGGGTTCTGCTTGCCTGGCGTTGGAGGGTCCGTCATAGATGAGATGCATTTGTCAAGGGACGGCTGCAGTGCCCATGCAGTTGGTGGTGGCATTGGCAGTGGCTGCAACTCCAGCAGCGGAGGCGTGGGACAGGTGCACCGGGACATGACCATGATGGGCCCTATGGCGCCGGTGGCAGCACCGTCGCAGCGCCCGACGCAGGACAGCCGGCTGTCAGAGCCTGGCGTAGGGCTGCCGTACGGGTTCCCTCTGTCGATGCAGCCGGGGCCTGCACCTCTGGCCGGTGGAACCACTGCCGTCTCATTGAATGTGCAGCACAGCCAACACCAGCTACAGATGCTGCAACTTCAACACGGCCACCGCGAAAACCATCACCATTACTATGCATTCCAGCAGCAGCAGCAGTGGGAGCAGCAACAGCAGCAGCAGCTGGTCGGCGGGCTGCGGAGGCCCAGCGTCGGCATGATGGACGAGACCACTGGTGTGGTATATCCGCTGCCAGGCATGGGGCCCTGGGGCCGCAAGTCGGGCCGGCTGTCGGATGCATCCATGGACGGAGTCAGTTCGGCGCCACCGGCTGAGGGCGCCGCCGTAGCCACCTCTGTCGCGCCCAACCATTCTGCCCCGTCGAGCTCCTTATGGCCTTCGCCTCCACCGCCACTACCACCGCAATCCGCGACCTCGTGCCAGATGCAGTTGAGCAACCCGTCGCCGCATCTCGCGCAGGCTCTCGGCTCTCCGCCGCTGTCCACAGGTGGAGTGGGCGGCAGCGCCACCGCCGCAGCCGCCACCGTCACCGCTGCTGCTGCCCTGTCCGCAGGCCCTAATTCCGCCGGAAGCGTCAGTGGCGGGGCCTGCGCCGCTGAGAGTTTCCCCCTTGGCGCCTGTGCCGCCATCGCCCCGCATTCCGGTGCCAACAATCTGTCGTTATCTTCGTCATCATCGCTAGCGGCGAACGGCTTCGCCGCATTTGCGGGCACTTTTGGAGGCGGCAATGTGGACGGCGGCCGCGCCAGCGGCGGCGGTGCGAGGCTCGGCGCGCCGTACTCCCACGGCGTCGTGAACACGTGCTGTCCGCCGCCGCGGTGCTCATCCACCGGCGACCCACATATCATGGCGGCAGCGGTGGCGCCGCCCCCCGGCCTGGCCGCGATGGCGCTTCCCCGTCAGGTGCGTCGCGTTGCAGGATGGTGTTGTTGGTGATGTCAGTTGTGTGGCCGTAGGTATGCATCTAGCGGCCGAAGTTATGAAACCAGTAAAATGTAGCAATTGCCATGCCACGTGGCGAGGCGGAACGCGCTGCGAGAGCGTATGGGAGCGAATGAGGCACCTTGCGCATAGCAGGAGCTTGGTTTATCAGAAAGCTCTCAGCAGGGTGCCGTTGCCCCAGCCCGTTGCTGCCACCGACTCACCGCTAAGCCCAGCCTGCCATCTGGGCCACACCAGTAAACCCGTCCTGACTGCTCATTGGCATCCTTGCCACGCCGTCCCTAGGTCTCCGCTCCCCCGCCGATGTATGGTTCTGTTGCAACGGGTGGTGGCGGTGGGGCAAGCGCCGGCGGCAGCACCTGCAGCGGCGGCGGAGGGTTTTACGGCGGCAGTACGACACCCATGTGCGGCATGCCTGATGGCGCCGCCCGTGCGCGCTTCCTCTCCACTGACGGCGGCTATCAGGAGGCGCTGGGCATGCCGCAGCCGGCGCGGAGCAGCCACACCGGCGGTGGCGCCGTACTATCTTACAGCACTACAGCGGCGACGGCGGCGGCTGGTGGTGTTGGCAGCCATCACACTACGCTTCATTTCGAGGCACATGTGGGCATTTCAACGGTGGGCAGCGCTGCTTTGGCGTCATCATCACCACCTTGGTTTGGCATTGAGGCCAGGGTGCGGTCCGGCATAGTTCCCCCGGTTGCAGCTGCCCAAGCTTCGGCCGCAATGGCACCCGCTCCTGAGGATTCATCACGCACCGCCACGACTGCTGCGGCGCTGGAGACTCACGTTTACCAGGAACAGCAGCCGCTCATGCAGCAGCAGCAGATGCACATGCAGCAGCAGCAGATGCACATGCAGCACACCCAGGGCTTGCGGCAGGCTGAGCAGCGACACCATCATCAGCAGGATTGTGTGTCCATGCAGCACCAGCACGAGCAGTACCAGCAGCAGCAGCGCCAGCATGCGCGTCAGCATCCTCAATATCAGCACAAGGACTTGCAGCGGGAGCAGCACATGCACCAACAGCAGCAGTACCAGCAGCAGAACCAGCAGGCGCGGCACCTCCGGCAGGCGTACCTGCATCAGCAGGAGCAGGCGCAGCAGAAGGAGCAGGTACGGCAGCAAGAGCAGCAGCAGGGGCAGGCGCGGCAGCAGCAGATTGGGCATGGGCATGTGCACGCGGGAGCCCAGGCGCAGCAGCTGGTGCCCTCGTCCGCCTCCTGCATGGCGCCGTTGCAAATGACTGCCCCTAAACACCAGCTCCAGCCGCTGTTGCAACAAGCAGAATGGCAGCAGCAACAGCGCCCATTTCCTTATGTTCAGCAGTTCGGAGGTAGCCTGGACGGTGGCAATAGCGGATCGTCGCCGCCAGCGACTGAGACAGGCGGCTTTCAAAATGTGCCGTACAAACCATATGGCATGGATGGAACCGCAGCGCGGCACAGCGTGGTGGTCAAGACGGGCGACGGCGCCGCCGCCACCATCGCTGCTGCTGTCGCAAAGCCGCCGCTGCTTAACGCTGCTGGCACCGATGTCCGCATGAGCTCAAGTACTGGAGGCGCCGCCGCCGCGCTCGGCTGGGTTGGCAGAGAGGAGAGCAGTCCCAGTGCTGCTGCTCGCGGTAGTGGCGCCAGCGACGGCTGCTGCGGGGAGTTGCCGATCAGTGCTGGCGGCAACAGTGCCAGCGGTGTGGCACCTAATGGCCACTCCGTTGCGTGCGGGACCAGTTCTACGACCTTCCTGCCAGGACGCTCCGTCACGACTGGCGTCCCCATGAGGGCTCCCTCACCGCTTCAGGGTCGCCCGGGCCAGTACCCTCAACATACGATTGCGGATGCCATGGCCTACGTCGGAGCTAGCTGGAGGAGCCCCGTCAGAGGTTCTGCCGGTGCCGATGGCACTTGCGCAGACGCCGGTGGCCGTGCTTGGTCCAAGCCCAGCGCTTCTGTAGAAGCTCCGGAAGGGCTGCTCTCAGTACAAGAGTCTTCACCACCACCGCAGCAGGAGCAGCAGCAGCAGCAGCAGCAAGCGCTACAGCAGCCACAGCAGCTGCAACAACCACAGCAGGTACAGCTGCAGCAGTGCTATGCAGCAAAGTTGGAGCCTTGGGGATCATCTTCTGATTTGTTCTGCCCTTTTCCACATGACGGCGCCAGCCCGACGGTGGCGGCTGTAGCGGCGGCGGGGGCGCCAGCGCCAGTGCCAGCGCCAGCGGCAGGTCCTTCAGCTGCCGGCAACACCGGGGGCACCGGGCTCGGTACCGCCTGCGGTAGGGCGGAGACGGCCGCCACTGGCGGCGATGGTTGTGATGCCGATGGGTCCGCTGGTGTGATGCTCGCCAGCTTTGACTGGCTGCTGGAGTAGTTGCGGGGGTGCGTGCTGGTGCCCGAGGGATAGCGCACCGGGAGAAAAAGGGTCTCGATGTGGTAGGGCCGGGCTTAGCATCCCGCCATTCTATCCTGCCACTCGGAGGTCCGGCGCTCGTCCTCGGCACCACCTGGTCCGGTGCGTATCGTCCCGCAGCGCCGCGCCGCCCTTTGCTTTCGCCTCATTTCGCGCTGCGCTTCGCCTCGCTGCTGCGCCATCCCAGTCCGCTTCCTCCAGCTGAATAAAGGGTATGAGGGCCAAGATGCGCACCGGTATGCAATGTGCACCTCAACTGGGCGATGCAATCCAACTATCAGCAATCTTAACACTAACACATTGCATGCGTGAGCAGCAACGCACATGTGGTACTTCGCTCCGTCGCTTCTCTGTGGGAAAGGCGTTGCGGCACCGGGACAAAGCGTCAGGCTCAGCTCGGCTCTCGGTTCGGCTCAGTGTTTTGCTCTCGGTTAGACCGGAGGACGGGGTGACCGGTGGGTATGCATGCATGCTGTTGCGTGCGCTGGTATGCATCGGTGGACATACATAACGTATTTCGTGCTATGCGAACAGCAGAGAGGAGGGAGGAGGGAGGGAGCCGCAGAAGAGAAGCGCATAGCCACGGGCGCCTGGGGGGGGACGGCGGCGTGAACTGGCTTGGGCAGGGACATGGACGGGGGTCTATGGGAGGCGTAGGCGGCATGCATGGGCGGCTGATTGTGTTCAACAGCTTCGACGTGGGTGGGTGTGGGAGGAGGTAGTGGTGGTATCATCCTCGCTGCGATTTCCCCGCACGACTTTTATATCCTTATCGCCGTCCGGTGTTTGGAGCCCCTCACCTTCGCGCCTGATAACCCCGGAACGGGGTCGGGGAGGAGGCATGTGTCTGGACACGCTGCACAACGCAGCGCATCACAGCAATATAGCATTTGGTGCTGCCAAACGCTTTTAGCGCGGTGCAGCGAGGCTGTCCGCAGTGAGCGGTCCCGACTTGTCCGTTACTTCTCGTATTATATATCGTATCGTATGGTATCGCCATGGCGGGGCTCTATTTACTGTTGTTGAGGGTTGCGGATGTCCCTGCGAAGTTTCTTATTTAACCGCTGGATAGCCAGGACAGATGGGTTGCGAACGAACTTGCATGATATATTCGGGCACATGGCGTTTGTGGGGTTGCCGGCTTGGTTGCTTTGAGCTTGCGGGGGAGGAAAGAGATTGCTGCCAGCATTTGTTTTTCATATATATGTATAGAGGTTTGGGGCGCCACTTTTTTACCTAGAGCGCGGAGGCGTTGCCCGCACTCACTTTTGCCTCTTCGTCTGTCTGTACGTTTTCCTTTCCCTTTGTCCGTTTGTTATAATCTTTAAAGGAAGCTCTTGCTGGGCTGGACAGCCGCTGTATGTATGTGTAAATAGCTGTATAGGCGATTCATGAACGAAAAAGTGTTGTGGTGGGGAAAGTGCGGGCCTTCGGCAATGGTGGGCTGTCGCTGGCTGCTAGGAGGAGGAAGCATGGGCAGAGGAGCATGTTAGGAGGAGGAGGAGGAGGATTCAGGAGCGCCGTTGCCATATCGCGTCTTGAGTTCTAATTCCTCCGTTGCTGTACATAAGCCCGTTGTACATACTTGAAGAGGGGGTCGCAGCTTTTGCTGTGATTGTGTCATTGCTCTGCTGCATATGTTGCCTGTTGTTGCCATCCGCCATCTTACAATTGTACATGTTGTCTATTAGCTCTCCACGGTGCGGAGGTTGGTGGTGTTGCAGTTATAGCGCGGATAGAAGCACACGGGGGTTTGTATTTCATGACATTGCGCTCCGTTGACTCCTTTCCTTTGTCATTGGCTTTACGCTTCGGCTTGGTGCACTTTTGACGGTATGTACTGGCGGTAGGATGAACTAAGAAATGATGCTCGGTGCGCAAAGTTTTCTGATATGTAGGTTTGGTTTGTTATCATATAGGTCCTGTATGAGATTTGGGCGGGTTGGGAAATGGCTGGGCGGATTATTGGGGCGAGGTGGTGTAGCCGCCGAGGATTGCGACACCAGCGAGGGGCAGTCCCCAGATCTAAGGACCCCGCCCGCTGTGCCTACCCGCCCGCCATAGCTGCGGCTATGGATAAATGCTCCTAGGGCGGCCTTGCGTGTGGCTGTATGTGCTGCCGTGCCGTGATGAACACAACCGGTTGCGAACTACGCAACGTTCCCGAAACGTAAATCCCTATAAAAAGATATTTGTACGCGCTGTGTGTCTCTATGAGTAGGAGTTTGTTAGGAGGGAGAACGGCCCCCGCGTTAGTAACGTGTGTGTGACGGTCTTGAGAGTTCGTTTGTTAATTTGTTAGTTTTTCGTTGCTCCGTAGTTGCCTCGACATGTTGGAACTTCACGGAGCATGTGATAACTGCAGCTAGGGCGTTGGTTGGTGGTCTGTATATATTGCGGTAAGCGCAGGGTGGCGTGCATAGGGATAACGGTATAATGGATTACCTGCATGGGTAATCCATTATTCGGCGCCGGAAGAGGAAATGGACGCCGGAAGACGGGCAACGGCACTGTATACGCAGTACGTACCCGCGCATGCTTCTGTGACGGGACGCCTGCAAAAGTGCAACAGTTGCGATTGCGGTTGAATTTGGGGTTGTGGTTGGCTTAGGCGCGTTTGGCGGCGGCGCATACATGCAGTAGTAGTAGTAGTAGTGGCTCCTGGTAGTAGTAGTAGTAGTAGTAGTAGTAGTAGTAGTAGTAGTAGTAGTAGTAAGTAGCAATATGTATTTTTCAGCGGCAGTTAACTTCCGCTGAAAAATAAGAATGCGGCACAAGCGCGAAGGGTTGGTTTGCCCGTGTGGTGGGTCCAACCCTGGCTGTGACTGTCGGATCTTGTCGTAGCTATATATGTGCTGTTGCGTCGGCATCTTCGTTGCTTCACCTCTTTTGTCGTCATCCCCCGTGGATTATAACACCGCAGACACACGTACCTAACATACAGACAGAGGAAACACAACGCACAAAGATTCGCTACGTGTTTTGGGGTAAGCGATGTTGATATTTTTTTAACATCGACCATAGTTTCCGTCGTCCAGGGACGACCTTTTCCCGCTTCCTCCATCCCCTGCTCCACCCTCTGAAGCAACCTAACATCCAGCTGTCTTTGGTTTTCCTGAGTTTGCTCGGTACTTAGAACACACGCACTCTCCGCATCGGCGTCTGGAAAAAAAATATTTACCACATCTACTCCATGCACATCACGTCTACTTGTTGTTTGCCCGCTGGCTTGCGCTGCGCAGCTCAGTTTTGCTTGAACGCGAAGGACCGTCGTTCTGCTCTCCGTACATTCTGGGCAAGCGGGAGAATAGGAATTCTACGTGTTGTCCTGATTGGTTTGGTCCAGATAAGATCGAACCATACGTGTTATGATAATGATTGTGTTGTGGATAAATTCGGAGACGTATGAGCCTGAACAAATGGAAAGGGAAAGCCGCCGAAGGGCGGTTAGTACCGACCCGACCTTCCGGATTTGGGTCCAAGGGTTGGATTTTTAGCGGCTTAAACGGCCATCCAAATGTCTAGTATGTTGTGTTGTGTGAAAGTAGAGTGGAGGAGATTTGAGTGGGCTTTCAGTTGTGTGTTGGGTCTATGTGGTTGCAGGTGTCCTTTGTGCGCGCGGGGTGCTGCACAACCAACCACTGGCCTGGTAGCCGCCGATACCGCGTTGTAAGGTGTGATAGGTTCTTGAGGTTGTAGCTGTGCATGGTCGCCGCCACGGGCGGTGGCGGCAGCGCCGCCAAAGCTAATGGAGTTCGCGGTGGTTATGGTGATGTTTGTGATGGTGATGGTGGTGGTGGTGATGGTGCTGCGACCTCAATAATCAACACTCACCTGCCAACCCAGGCATCCTCCACTCACCCCGCCTACGTGACGTATGATGTTTTATCTTTAATGCGCCAATCGTGTCGGGTGGGCCTTGTGTAAAGCTGTCCCAGCCACCTTCTTAAGTTTACCCCATTGTCACCGGTGGGTAGCTAATATTATTTTTGGCAATGGTCACCGAATAGGTGCGTCCGGTGCTCGTGCCTCCATGTGTGGATGTCCTTGATCTTCCCATCATCAAAGACAGCCTTTGGCGCTGCTGCTTCCCATTGTAAATGTATTTTTGATCGCTGATCGCTGAGTGTGTGTGTGTCCGCGTGTGAGTGTCCGGTGTTGCTTTTTTGCGCGTTATTATTTGACGGAACGAGGCCTCCTTTGTTTTTTTGGTTGGGCTGTTACGCAAATTGCGGTGACTATTGCGGTGGCTAAGGCAGCTGACGAGCTATTCACCTACACGCGGTCCGCTTGGTTTACCGACTAGCAGCTACAACCTGCGTTTGTCTCTTGGGCGTGCTCTTGCGTGCTTTGGTTCTTCCATTTTTACGGTTTTAGCTCTGATTTGGGTCTATGGCGGTTTGCTGGGCACCGGAATCCTTAGCGAGTCCTTTGCCGGTTCGGGTTCGTAATCCGTGTGTGTTTTGATTATCTGAGCCGTGTGTGAGTGTGTATGTGTGTGTGCGTGTATATGTGTATGTATGTGTGTGTGTATTTTTCTCTGTTACATATCGATCCGGGCCTGATGCTGGCCAGGGGCACCTAACCCGGTACCCCAACGGGAACCGTTACCGCCGAAGCACTCTCCTCCTAAAGCGGGAGGAGAGGGGCGTGTGGCCCCGCAGTCCCCTCCAGCTCGACCGAGGGCGTGCGACCCATCCTGTGTCTCTACGACTCTACCTCATGTAATCGATGATGAAAGAGCGCACGGTGGCTACGAAGGCCCTCTCACAACCAACCTCAGCGCGCGTGTGGCACAGTTCTGCCCAGGCAGCCCGCACCATTTGCAGGTGCGGCTGCCCACCCTGGGTGAGTCCTGACACCAACCGGACGCCTCTTCCCGCGAGGGGCAACCTTGTCGGTGCCTCGAGCCCCAAAACAGAACCCTACAAACGTGGCTACCCTCGCTACGGCCCTGAGAAAACTAATCGGCACACCCAGGCCGTGTGTATGTGTGTGTGTGGGGGGGGGGGGCATGCGTGTGTATGTGCGGCGCTTACGTAGTGTGTGAGCGCCGTTCAGCTGTGCTTGCCGTGGAATCGGCCACTGTGAGTTGGAAATTTCTTTTAAGATTTACAAAAGCTAAGCACGCTTATTGGTTGGTTTCTTGGACATGAGGGAATTTTCCATGCATTATCAATCCCGTGCTGTAAAAGCTACTTGTGTAAGGTGTCACCTAGAATTGCCCTCTTGGATCTGGCTGTATCAGCTGTGATAATCCGTGCAGTTCTGCCCCAGCGGAAAGCTGCATTGTACAAGGCCATGGGCAACGTGCTTATTAAACATAAGTGGATCTTCTTGTTGTAGCCATCGTCGTAAAGCATACCGCTCCCCACGCCTGAACCAGGCTCAGTGTACGAAGGAAACAAGCGTCAAGCGTTATCATTAATGGATACTTGCAACTTATGCAGGGACCCGTGGAACTTCCCCTGTTGAAAGCTTTCAGACATCGCTACTTTTGAAATGTAACGGTAACCGCAACAACGGTGAGCAAACAAGCTATGCAACAAAAAATGGCATCAAACATATAATCACAAGTCATTTGCGGACATTTGAAGATTCTATTTCATAATGGAAAGGCAGCCTTTCCATTATAGCCGCTTGCAAGTGGCTAGCGAGGAAGTGGGCACGTTGCAGCGTTCAATGTCCGTTTATTTTAATTGTCTTTAGTATAACACCATAGATAGAGAAATGACGCAAATAATATTTTGCGCTAATTCGGGCCTTGTTTCCTCCGGTGCAACGAAACCTTGACTTCAGTGTCGGGGAAAGGCATGCAGGCTACGCAACATGCGCTTAAATGGCGATGGTTGTCCCCCAAAGGACTTCAAGCCGCTGTAGTTGCTGCGACACCAGCTTTTACAAGAGCTGGCGCGGCCCTTCCATTGGCGACTGGAAATCCCGCTTGCCACGCTGCCTGTCGTGTCAGAGTTGCCGGCCCCTCTGATGGGTATGTGGTATCATTTCCTTGCCTTGGGGGCAGATCCTGTACGCACTGCCGCGTGGGCACCGACGGTTCGGCCAACTGTACCGGTAATTGCAAGGCGGGCTCTTTCTTAGGCATTCCACGTCGGAGAGCTGTTTCGGTCAGACGGAACGCCGTTACAAGCTTGGCAGCCTCGGTTGTCAAATTGCCGGCCTCAACTACCAATGACAAGCTTGCGGCTTCAGCTAGCAGAAGCACAAAATCCGAAAAAGCCGCGCTGGCTAGTAATCTTGCGATACAGAGCGTCCAAAGTCATGGCCGTTCCCGCCGTTATCAAAGCTTGGTCAACAAGGACCAAAATACTGCATACCTTCCCGCCACCACACCAAGGAGTCGAGTCAGTTCAAATTTTGTTAACGGATCTGATCTCACAGCTCCACTGCATCACCATGACTGTTTTCATCATCAACCACATCGGCGTCAAACCATGTCGACCCTGGTCCGAGTGGCCCATCTCCGTCAACCGGTGCCTTCGCCGGAGGCTGTTCGCCGCGTCACCGCCGCTGCTACAGCAACAGCCACAGTGGCAACTGCCAGTGGGCCCGCTGCAACCGGTGACAATAACAGCTATACCACCGTCGCGCAGCTTCCAACACGACACATCGTCGCAGCTGTGGATCCAGATCTCAGCGGTGCCCTCGCGATGATATACTGGGATGAAGAGGAACGGCCGCCACCGCCTCCTCCAGGGGCGGCGGCGCCAGCGCCGGCGCGGCCGTCTTCCAAGCTGCCAGCCAAGCATCCTGGCAGCGGTGCAGCGGTGGCGGAGTACGGCACCTCGGTGGCAGCAGCGGCGGCGCCGCCGCCGCAGCAGCCTGCCTGGCACTTCGGCAACGCCGGCTGGCTAATGGTAATGCCGACGGCAGCCGACGGCTCAGGAGACGTGGGTGGCGCAAGTAGCGCCGCCGCAAGCCAGCGAGGGGTTTTGGCAGGCCGTACAGCCGCCGATGGTGCTGCTACCGCTCCCTCAGATGCTCAGGACGAAGGGGATGAGCATGGCGGCGGATCGGATTCCGAAGGCGGCGATGGGCACTGCTGTGACGGCGGCAGCAGCGGCGGCGGTGTAAGCGCCGCTGCGGCGGCGGGTGATGGGCTATGGCTCCCTGCGCCGCCACCGCCACCGGATGACCTTTCCCTCTGGACGGTGCGCGTGTGGGACATGCCTGTCAGCGCCGCAGAGCGCCGGAAACCAACCGCCACGGGTGGGGTCTCCAAGCGAAGGTATCGTACCGCGTTCCCGAGCACGGCAATACACGGGGCTTATTACTTATTAATCATTCTATGTATTTACTTATTATATCTACATTTATTTATATTATTAATTATTTACATCTATTATGTATTAATAATATTTTTTATTTATTAGTCCATCATTACATGGCGCTGAAGCGAACAAGAAAATGTGTGTGCGAGGGGTTCCGCCCATCTTTACCGCATCCAATACCACCTTCGAAGTCGTGTTGTGTTTTAGCAGTCACTTGCATCTTGTTCTTCCGATGCCCCATGCGCCTTGACCTTCTTGAACACGCCACTTCCACAAAACCGCCACTTCTAAGACCACCACCTCCACAACAGGCTGCTGCATGTGGCGGGGGCGAGGGCGGTGCTGGCGAGTGCGTTGGCGAGCGCGCTGCCGCCGCCGGAGGAGCGCCGCCGCGTGGCGCTGTACGGCTATGTGGAGGTGCCGCCCATCCTGCCGGGAGATGGAATCATATCCGCATACACCAGCCGTGAGAAGGGCGTGACGTGTGTTCGGGGAAGCGCACCTCCCTTCATTTCCCCACTCTCCCCCGACATCCAAATGACCCCCCCGGCACACACAAACACATGTTTGTATGGTGCAGCCGTACTGTTCCCAGGTGCCCGCCACCCTCCCCGCTACCGGTGCCTTAATTTTGACATACCTCCGTGCTTTGAGCCCTCCACCTTCCCCCCTCGTCCTCCTAGGATAGTCGGGTCGGTCGGGACAGTCGCGCTTTTTTTGGGGGGTTTGGGAGGAGCACTTGCATATCGACAGCTTTTCATTACCAGCAAATCAGCTAGTTCTCCAGGTCAGCAGCAAACTTTCTTCCAGCTTTACGACAGCAGCGCTTTACTACTTCTCCGCCGCCTCTACACCTACTTAAGGCTTGGCATTACTGCTTTCTCTGCTTTTTTAGTCCTGGCGGCTTAAGTAGGTAGTTGTTCCGACATCAGCTTCACTACGTCATCCCGAGGTCGCCGTCTTCACGGACGCCTTTCGGTCAGTTCTACGCCTGGTACACTCTTGCCCTGGCAGCAGCTTCACTCGTTTGTGGTTCGTCTTTTCCCCCTCCTCCTCACCCTCCTCCTCCTCACCTTCCTCATCCTCATCCTCCTCACCTTCCTCCTTACCCACCTCCTCCTACCTCCTCACCCCCCCTCCCCTCCACCTCCCTCCTCACCACTCCTCATCGTCACCCTCCGTCTGTAGCTGATTTCTTTGCATGTTGCACCACCACAGTATTCCCCCCGGACCCCCTCCTCTGTGTGGCACCCTGCAGGCGCACACACACACCGCCGCATCCACTTGTCCCCCGGCTCCCTCTGCCCCATTGCCCCCGGGACCCCCTGACCCCCCCCTGCCACCCACTTCACCCCGCTCTCCCGCCCGCCCCGACACAGTTTGGAGCACGGGCGCCTGGCTGGGACTGCTGACCGGCATGGGCTTCGCGGTGGGGGATGGGTGGTGGGATGGCGGGAAGGGACGGGGGAGAGCAGAGGGATTCAACCTCTAAGGGCTGAACAAGCATTAGCAGTAGCAATAGCGCGAATAATGGCAGTAGTAACGGCAGTAGCAGCAGCAAGAGCAGTAGCGGTAGCAATTTTATCATGTACTGCGTCAGGATCCTGCGGGTCAGAGCGCATGGGGAGCATTCCCACGTTAAGAACTCCCGCTGCGCTGGCTAGGCCTGGGCGTCCTCATCGCCCTTCCCAAACCCTCGCGACCGCCATGCTGTGCTTCCCTTCTCTCCTTAACACTAGCTGGCGTTCTTCCTGATCCTACCTCACTGCCCGCCTGCCGTACATCTGCTACCTACTGCCCGTCCACCTTCCGGCTAATGCGGTGGTGTGCTTGGTGGTGGCGGGTTTCGGGTTTCTGGTTGGGCTTCGGTCCGAGTACGGCAGGTGGGCTCAACGCCTGTGCGGCGGTGGAAGCAAGATCTGGGTTTGTACGGCGCACGCAGCAAGGACGCCGGTCTGGCTCTAGCTAGAGTGCTGTTCCCGGGGCAGGCACGCATCCTCAAGTAGGTGGTTTGGTGCTGTGTGCGATTGTGTATGTACGTCTGTACATCTGTACGTATGTATGGGTGTGTGAGAAGCGGATATCACTTGCGTCAACACTGTATATACTGTATGTGTTCCTCTCCGGGTGAGGGGTTCTGCTCGGGGGTATCGTGCCGGACCCAAAACACACCGGGTGTCCTGTACTGGTTGGGGTTTCGGATCCCCCCCTCCCTCCCCCCTTCGGGAGGTCGCGGTCTTCACGGACGCCTTTCGGTCAGTTCTACGTTTGGTACACTCTTGCCCTGGCAGCAGCTTCACTCGTGTGTGGTTCGTCTTTCCCTCCCTCCCCCCTTTTCTCCTTCGAGGGATTTTTATTGTCGGGCTTTATTGCCGGCCCCGCAACAGGCACAAGAAGAATCACGGCCGTGCGGACGCGCTCCTCATGGCCGCCTGGGCTCTGGGCGCCTCCCTGCCGCCTCGTCTGGCGGGCACTTTGCGCCGAAACCACATGACTGTGGACGAGCTGCTGGCGGAGCAGCCGGCGGCGGCGCTGATGTGGGGCCCGCCGCGGCCGCCGACGCCGACGGACGCGTACGGCAACCTGCTGACGCCGGAACGCGACATGATGGACGAGGTATGGTACGGTATTGGGGGATGAGCTGTAGGGGCTAGGAGGGGGCCTGGGGGTGTGTGGCGCGTCGAGGAGGGTAAGAAAGGGGCTTCATCCCGAAAATGTGGGATTGGGGAGCACGTGATGGGGGGGGGCGGTGGTGGTGGCTTTACAGGTATGAGGTCTAATTTCTCCAGCTGCTCCACTTCCCCCCGTGCGCGCAAGACCTCACGCATTCGCAGTTCCAACAGCCCCCACAGCAGCAGCAGTAGCAGTAGCAGCAGTAGCAGTAACAAGCCGTGTACTATCCTGCCCGCGGCGAGGAGGAGGGCAGGAAGGAGGTTCGAGTGGGGCAAGGGCCGTCCAGTTCTCTAAGCCACCACCAGTACCTATTGCTGTTGCTGGGGACTGAGTTGCTGCTGGAGCGGACCGGGCTGATCGGGCTGCGGAAGGGACGGAGCTGTAGATGGATACACGGAAGGCTGTTCGGAAGGCTTCTATATAGAATGTTAGGGATGGAAACTCACGCTTCTGATCTACGGTTTGATCCTGCCCTGATTGCGGAGATCTGTTTGATAGGTTTGTTATGAGGAAATGGTTGGTGGTTGCAGATCGAGGCGGCAGAAACCAAAGTCGCCCGAATGGACGAGTCTCGCGCCGCCGCCGCCGCCGCCGCCGCCGGATCAGTCGGTGGGAGGAGGAAGGCTTCCCGGCGCGCCTCAGCCGCGACTGCTGCCATTAAGGATGATGCTGCTGCTGGTGGTGGTGGTGATGATCGTGGTGATGCTTTTGCTGTCGGTGCCAATGGCAGCAGCGGAAACGCCACAGCCAGCGTAACTGCCCGCCGCCGCGGGGGAAGGAAGGCTGCTGCGGCCGTGGCGGAGGCGGATGTGCTACTGCGGCTACAGCCAGAGGAGGAGCCGCCGCTACTCCGTCCGTTGTCCGTTGGAGACGGAGGCGCTGGAGGTGGCGAGGCCCGCCCATGCGGCACGGTCGGGTATGGGGCCGAAGGAGGCAAAGTGGCGAGTACCGGCACGAAGAGACGGGGCAGGCGGCAGGCAGGTAAAGCGCTCGAAGGAATTGATATGTTGGAAGCACCGGAAGCGGTGGAGGCAGAGGCTGGCGGTGCTCAATCTCAGGATATCGCAGCTTCAGTGCAGGTTGTGGGGAAGAAGCGCCGCTCAGGCTCCGGGAATAAGTCGTCGCAAAGCGGCAAAAACATGGCTGGGGCCGCGGGAGAGGCGGCGGTAGAGCCGGAGACTGTGGCGGCAGAGGCCGCGGAAGCGACGACGGAACCGGTGGAGGCAGCGCAGGCGGAAGATCCTGGATCCCCGCGGCGGCAGCGGCGGCGGCGGCGCGCAGTGGCGGCGGGTACGGAGGTTGCCGCGGCGGAGCTGACGGAAGAAACTCAGGCGACGGCGGCGGCAGGTACGTCAAGGCGACGGCGGAAGACTGCCGCGGGTACGGAAACCGAAGCGGCGACGGCGCCGAGTGTTGCGGCGGCGGAGGCCGCGGAGGCGGTACCTGCTGAGTGTCGAGCCAGGTCTCCGCGACGGCGGCGGAGTGCTTCAGCGGGGGCGGCAGCGGGGGCGGAGAGCTCACCACTGAATGACGAAGGGGAGGTCGCGGCCCTGCAGGCACCCACGGCGATGGCGGGGGTTACGAAGACGCGCCGGCGGGGGGCCGCCGCTGCCGCCTTGGAAACGCGGGCAGAGGTGGCGTCAGCGGCGCTGGAGGCGAAGAAGGTTTGTGGCGGCGAAGTCCAGGGCGCTCGGAAGTCGGAGAAAGAGCCGCAGCCGCGGCGGCGACGGCGGGGGTGATGTTAAGGAATAGCGGCGCAGCGAAGGTGGCAAAGGCAGATGCGGAGGAGGAATGAAGAAGAGGAGGAGGGGGAGGAGGAGGAGAGGGAACCGACGTGATGTGAAATGTCTCGCAGGGTGTCCGTGAGTGAGTGAAGGAGTGAGGGAGGAGGAAGCGCGGTCTTTGGTTATGGAGGTAATGTGTGTTGGGGCCGTGACGGGCGTGGGCGATGTGGGGATTGTGGGGAAGGGTCCTTGGCCGTGCGTGAAGGCAGTGGCAACGGCAATGGCAATGGCTGGGGGAGGAGCTGAGCGGCGGTAGCCGGGTGGGTGGATGTGCTTGTGTGTATTCGTGGCGTGTGCACCGCACTGGATGTGGTCGTCATTAAGTGACGGCCTGGGAAACGCAGATGTTAATTCTAATGTTAGCATCTATTATATATATACAATTATAATAAATAATAGGGTTTGCTATACAAATATAGGAAAAACAATGATGCTTGGCGATGTGATGTGATGTGATGGGCTCTTGGTAAAGAGGTACGACTTAGGTAAACTCGATGTGACACTGTCGCGGTGCGTTGGGGGGGGAGGCGAGCTGTGAGGGGCTGTGAGGGGGACCTGTTCCTGTGTGCGTTTCTGCTTCTTGAGTGGATTGAGTGGACCAGGTAGCTGTGTTCCCCACACCGCTCTCATGGAGGTGCTGTAAGGGCCCCAGCCCCCCAGCCCCTCTCTCTTGCCCTGGCAGCAGCTTCAATCGTGTGTGGTTCGTCTTCCCCCCCCCCCCCGGGGGGAGCAGCGTTTTCGACCGCTGCATATTACGTTACTAACTGCAGCAGCGATCCCCACTGAAAGCATCGTACCGCAGAGCCGTGTGTACTTTGTACGGCGGATGTAAGTTGATGTGCGGCGATGCGCATCCTGTCCTGTGCTTTCGTCTCGAGGCTTTCAGTTTTCGTGAGCTCGTTTGTAATGTGTTTGATTGTTTGGTGGGTTTGTTGAAGTGGTGTTGTATTGTAGTACAACTTTGTGCAGCTGTTGTACAAGCGTATACTTTGCCGTGGGGCACATGCGCGCGGTCGCTCCTATAGCCGCATTTTACAATTAGCTAGCCTAGTACGACATACTCGATAAGATGCAATGAATTAGCTATACGCGTATAATGGGTAGCAACTGCTGGTGGGGTGATATCGCAGCCGTGGATGATAGGTTTTTTGATTTTGCGTGTACGGCAGCAGCAAGGCGGCGATTGCCGCGGTGCGCTTGCGGGCCCTACGGCGGCGGCGGCGGTGACGGCAGCCATAGGCAGGTCCTAGCGCCGCTGCTAGGGCGCGATTAGCGGCAAAGAGCGTATGCTTACATGTGCGATGCTACAGTGTGCGTGTGGCGCTGTGACGGTATCTGTGGATGTGTGGATGAGAGGGCAGGGAGCCCACTGCTCCATTTGCTAATCTCACTAGGGTCGGCCTTTTGAATATCTTTTAAGTTCAGATATACCATCAGGTAATCGATGTCGGGCTTTTTGAATTTAAATCGCCGTGTGTGATGCGAAGGTAGATTTGGCGTTGGATGGGCCGGGCCGTTAAATGTTTGGGTTTTAGGGTTTTGAGGCGAAAAGGAAATGCCGGATGGAAAGCAGTCCAGTCCACCAGATGCACCGGCGCCATACTACATGTACTCAAGGGAAACGGATTTACGCGGTGGACACACGTGGAAACCTTCTTTGCGCAATAGGATAGAGATCGGGCTTCATATCGCAAAACAACAAATTAAAGCCGCGCTTCCTCCTCGTTGCAAGAACGAGGCCGCGGCATTATGAACTGAAAGAAGGAGAAGGCGACAGTCTGCGTCCAACAACGCATTGCGCAATCTCGGCGTCAGCCCCACCGCCCGCTGGCGTCAACCAAAAGCCTCCGAAGAGGGGCGCGCGATTAATCCAAAGCCAAGCTAACTGACTTACCCCACTGATGCCGATCAGCACCAGTTAGAGCAGCCCCATTCCAAATCCTCCAACAAAATTCCTGCAACATTATAAACAAGCAAATAATCAGGCAGGCAAACAGACGAAATAGAGCAAAACTCACGCCTCTGCTTTCCTCCATTTCTGTTCCCCCAAGTTTTCTCAATTCTCAATGACAGGCATGTTCCAGCAAACCATCAGTCAGCCACGGAGTCCTAAGCCCGCCCTTCCGGGCGCTGCAGCAGCCCCTGCCGCCGCTGCAGCCGCCGCCGCAGCGGCCGCATTTCCACGCCCCGCAACCCGCACCCAGCTCACTAATCATTACGTGCACCAAACGTCCCAAGACCGTTCACGAGCTGGCCGCGGCCGCGCCGTGCGCCCTGGACCTGCTGTATGGGCCTGTGGTGACGGCGGCGGTGACAGCGGCGGCAAAGGGTTGCTCCGTTGGGCCGGCGGCGGCGGCGGCGGCGGCGGCGGCGGCCAGGTCCTGAGAGTCGGAAGAGTCTCAGCGACGGCGGCGACAGCTGCCGGTACGGCTGCCGCCAGTAGCGGCAACGGCAACATCGTACACATTCCAGCGGACGCGCGCATTCTTCTGATCGGCATCACCGGCGTCACCGGCAGGTCCGCTAACCCTTATATTTTTTTATTACGTGCGAGAGCTCTCGTCCTTGGCATATAGTACGGCTTTGTGACGCACGGACGAGGACGACGGCGTGGATAGGGTGACGAGTGGCTCTATACGTCTATCTCTGCATTCCTTGGTTTGTCGGTCTGTGAGTCTGTCTATCTACCTTTCTCTGTGATGAAGGTTGTCTCTGTGCGTTCAACCCTTTGCGGGGCTGTGGGGCCTCTGAACGCGTATTTGCAACCACCTTCCTGTCGCGTTACCCTAAGTGGCCCAACAGTAACTCCCTTCGCTTTCCGCCTACTGTACGTTGACTTCTTTGTGTGTGTGTATGTGTTTATGTATGCGTGACCTTCGGACTGTTACTGCTACTGTTACCAACATGCAACCGACGCCAGGAGCGCATTGCAGGTGTGTTTGTATGTTTGTGTGTTTGTATGTTTGTGTGTGCGGGTCTTAGAACATGAACGAGCTTCACAGAAACGGAACGTCAACGTAGTTAAGGGGCACGTGGTCCAGGATGGCTGCCCAGGTTGGGCCATTGACCCGTGGGTCGGCACCTCCCACAACACCTCCACTCGGTTTCTCCAAAAGGACCCGCGAGGGCCCGTTGGGCGGTGTACGGCGTTAAACCGTATGAACCAGGCCCAGCGTGGACAAACCCCCCTCTTAGCAAACTGTTGGAAAGTGGCCGACACTCTCCATGTATGATGTCTAGTGAATGGCGGCAGTGGTAATAGGACCCGGGGGTGTCCAGCGCTTTGCTGTGTCTAACACAAACCTCTAAATGACCGAAATTTCCTTATATATAATTTAAGTTAGACCCAGAAAACCACCGGCATTCATTTGCCGCACGTGGCGTGCAGGGCTTCCTGACGGTTGCCGGACCCGGTCGCACCGCGCACACGCTGGTGGCCATGAGCCGCAACCCCGGGGGCCCAGCGGCGAAGTCCTTGCCGTCGGAAGTCCAGGTAGGGGTGCGGGCAACAGTAGGGGCTTATCAGCGTGCCAGCGTGCGTCCTGTTTTCGGTCTCTCTGTGCACCCTTTGCTAGCATCACCACAATCACCACCACCGTCACCGTCACCATCACCACCATCACCACCATCACCACCATCACCACCATCACCACCATCACCACCATCACCACCATCACCACCATCACCACCATCACCACCATCACCACCACCATCACCACCATCACCGCCATCACCGCATGTGTGCTACAGGTCCAAGCAGGATGCAGTTGGCTTTAACCACCCGCGAACCCACCCGCGACCAAAAACATTTGACTGTACGGCAACAGGTGGTTGCGGGAGATTTGGACGATCCGGGCTCGTTGGGGTCCGCTCTGCGGGGCGTCACCGCCATCTACTGCCACGCGCTGTCGAAGTAAGTGTACCTTTGCCCGTACATGTGCCGTTTACATATACACTTCACAACACCACCATACGGCTTCCTGTAAAGCCGCGATAAACTGATAGTCAAATCGCATTAACATATTCTCGACTGGTCTCCCGCCCTCCAGGGACGCCGCCACAGCGGACCCCACTGAGCTGGTTCGGGCACGCACCCTGGCGGCGGCAGCCAAAGCCGCGGGTGGGTGGGTGGTCGCTTGGGGGTTGAATATGGGTTTGTTTGTGTTTTTTGTTTGTGTATATGTATGTATGTCCGCATGTATGCATTATGTTGTACGTCTCTGTTTATATGTGTGATGAGATTGTTTGTTCGTTTGTGTTTTATGTTAGTGGCTTAGACCATTTGTGTTCACCTTTTGCATCTGCACATCTGCACTGGTGCGGACCGATGGATGAAGGTCCTCCTCCGCCTTCTTTCTCAACTTTCACCGTCAGTCCCACACATCCCCACGCATGCTCGCCCCCACATCGCACACTCGTGACTGCACCGCACACTCGTGACTGCACCGCATACTGACTCGGTGACTCCGCAGGCGTGCGGCTGATCATCTATAACAGCAGCGGTGGCCGGGGCTGTGGGTACGGCATTACTCAGATGGAGCAGAAGCACCTGATTGAGGACATCTTGGCTGGGGGAGTCCCCACGGTGGCGCTGAGGGTGCGTGTCTGTCTGTGTGCCTGTCTGTGTGTCTGTCCATCTGGTGTGTGTGTACATGTATATGTATGTATGTATGTTGTTACAGGGTGGTTAAGCTTCACCAGCGGCCCCTTTCCCGAGGCAGTTCCCTGCTCTCCGCTGCGAGAGGGACACCCCTAATCCGTTCACCCCATCCGACTTCAGAATGTATTCGTTGGGTTCAGCAACTCACCACCAGCATCCAACCAAATATAGCGGATCAACCGCGCCTCAACTTAGTTCCTGGTTAGCTCGCAAGTTGATGCTATGAGGTCCTACATCGTCCACTAGACGGGGGGCCACCTCCCACTTCAACTCTCCTCAAGCACCCGAGAAATCG